CAGGTTGAAGTTCTTAGCCATCGTAAGACAGCTTCCTTCCACTTCCTTCTGGGGATATATATTGTTCATTAAGTTCACTCCAAGGGTGTAGAAAAGGGATGCCGTGTTTCTACTGTAGGTATGTGAAAGGGGTACCATGTTCATAATTTATATGGAAGATATATGAAAGGGGTACCATTTTCCGTGGAAGGTATTGTGAAAGGGGTACCTTTTCTGTCAAAAATGGTATATAAAAGGGTAAGGGGTTGGACCTCTGGGCGGAGCCTCCCCGTATAAAACTTTTTTGAGTACCCCCGGGCTCGCAACATGTGCACAACCCTCTGAAGGCTATAAATAATTGGCTCTATTCACCTAACGTGTCGTAATTTGAGATTGTTTTCCCACCCAGTGCTCTTTAATTAGGTTAGAACAGCAGTCTTATTAGGATAAATAGGCAACACTATTAAACGTATTCGTTCGAAAATTAACGATGACGCCTTCGCCGGAGCTGATGCCTTCATACAGGTCATGCAGGCGGAGCGGAAAGTTTGGAGTTTCAATTCAAATTTAATCACACAGAAATAAACATTCAAACCGGACAGATAAGAATGTTTATCTGACACCTTCTAAACCACAAAAATCGATGTTCTACAGTATTGCAAAACCACAAAGGGAACTGGAGCACTTGATCCGGGATACCTGACGCTAGCGGATCTTCACTGTACGTGCGAGGTTCGTGACTTCTAAAGAGGCGTTATTACAGTTTAGCTCACGCTTGCTGACAGAATTAGGCTTGTACGTCTGATCAGGTCAAGACTGAATGTCTGCACCCACGCAGCTTTAATTCGGCGCAAATCTACAATAGTCACTTGTTCCCAGTCCTTATTAATTACCATATTATTTTCTCTTATAATGGGCGTTTATTTAAAACTCGGCCGTTGTAGACCCCGGAGATTTAAAAACAGGCTACAGTGGAATCACTACTTTGGGCCTGAGGAACCCTTTCACTCCCAAGAGTGCTAAGTTCAAAACTGAGGGGAAAAATATTGATAGTACTGCTCAATAGCTTTCAATTGAATGGTCACACACAAGGGTTTCATCCACAGACTCAAGATACACTGAGCCACATTATTGACTCAAGGTTTGACCCTGGAAGCGAAAGGGTTTGTCCCGAGGGTGTTCCCTTAATATCATATCTGGTGAGGCGCGCGCGTGAGTTATATTTTGAAAGCTGGTTTTCGCGTTCTTTTTTACTACCAGTTCACTAAATTACAAAATCGTCAACACAAGAAGAATAAAATGTCATCCATTGCGTCTCTACTAAATTTCGTCTCTGCTAAACAAGTCATGGAGAAGTACAGTCCCTATTGAGACTGATGAGAATCAGTTCCATAAGGTTGGGTTCAAATAAACGTTTAATCGAGAAAATTGGCGTCGGTAACACACTGTACTGCAGAGGCTAGCTGCTGAAGCTTCACCCATTTCCAGACCAGTAACGAGGTAACCGTTATAGTATGGAAATCAGACGGCCATTTTAAACAATTCCATTTTATACCAGAAACCATGGAGACCATGAGAGACCCTGGGAACGAGGTTGCAGGCTCTTCTGTTTTGAGACTCGATAAAATTAGTGTCAAAAAACGTTGGTAAATGGATCGTCAATCTCAAGATCACTGTCTTTACGGCAATACACGTATTTCTCATATTTTGTACTGGCAATTTGATGCCTCAACAGGGTCACTCTACGGTATTCTAAAATGTTTGGCTGGCCTTTATAAATCGAGCCATGGTTGAAACTTCTCTTCTCTCCGAGTGAGCTTACGGATTGGCAAAAGCTGTTCATCATATTATAGACAGTTTTTATTTTTAAACATGATTCGAAGTGGAAACATAATACGCGGGAAAAACATTCTAACCTAAAATAATCCGTGGAAGTTGTTTTTGACGGAGAATAATATGCGAGAACGATACTAAATATAGCGCAATGCTCATTTACCTTCCGCAGAAAAATACGCCTAGCTAGATAATCACTGACAAGTTTAGAATTAAGTGACACTGTATCTAGCATTTCCGGGGACCTACTCCATAGAATGAAACTTGCGTGTGTGGTGTGTGTGCTAGTTACTGGTTCCCTGAACTCTCCCCCGGCCACCCTCCCTACACAGGGGCTGAACCCAGTTCGGCTGGACTCTAGTACTCTCTCCTGGTCTGAGTTCAGCCCCTATGTAGGGTGGGTGGGGAGAATTCTAGCTGCTGGTCAGACAGATCGCACTGATCAAAACACCGAGCGTCGTGAAACAAGAATGATTTTTCTGTACATGAATAACTTGTACAAAAAATCAATTATTCACAACAGGTGTAAAGTGCGAACAGTCAGGAAATCATTCGGTTTCGTTAGATACAGTAAAATGACCGAAAAACGGCGCGTAGAGACCCACACCAGGTGACTGTATGTATTCCCCTATTTCGTGACTTTTTATTCATCTATTCATCGCTCTCGGGATTTAACTCATGATCTTCTTAAATCTCGGACGTACAGCTTTCCAAACAAACTGAAACGGAAAGCAATGTCTTTGGAGGTCAAATTAAAGCTTCCTCAAGGTTACTATTTTTAGTGCCTCTTTATTTAAATTGTTTAGCGATTTCGTTAAACAGGTTAAAATATATAGTTAACTCGAGTACTCGTTAAATTTTCGATTAGCGACCATTAACACGCTAAAAAAAATAACTTGATAGTTACAGATGTAAATGTTTAATAAAAGCTGGACCTGTCTCCATTAGAGGTATCGAGTGGTCTTTGCGAGATGCGAGCACAGCGTTTTTCTTTGCGCGCATTTATAAAAGTTAGCCTTGCGAGCAATGAGCACTTCGCTAAATGACTACCTTCACTAAAAACCGAGCATGTGAGCACTTGAAAAAATATGCGAGCACGAGCAAACGAGCACCTACTAAAATTTTGCGAGCAATTCGAGCAGAAGCCCAATTTTACGAGCTCTTAAAAATTCGGGGACCATCCATGTCTTCCATTCACTTCAGTACCAGTTTGAGGACAAGAGTCAGAATGTATTGATACACTGCTATCTTGTGGATTATGCGACATGGAAATCAAGAACGATCTGAATTGAAACGACTAACCTAAAATCAAAACTTTTGAAAATTAATTTTAAGAACGAATTTCAAGGTATCGAATCGAATAAATTGCTAAATTATTAAAAAGTCAGTGTTAAATTCTGATAATTAAAAAAAACATTCGCTAAAAATAGTAAGGTGAGGGTAAATGAGAGCCGTGAGAAAGTAAGCATAGGTGTTAAGCTTTTCAAAATACACCGTCGGAACTAAATACGCTAAAACTTCCGTAATAAGCAGGATTGTGTTAGCTTTGTGGCTTATTGGAAATAAAGTCTGTTTTGGCTGATAAAATTACTGTTTTCTGAGGGGTTTTAAAAAGATAATGATATAAATTACGGAAATCCCGTATTTCCTTGAATTGAATATGAATAGCCAAGCCTCACGCAATAGGCGCGCTCGAACTGAATCAGCACATTTTTGACTAATCCCTCTCCTGGAAGTGAACACTCAGAACAGCTCAGTTCTGAAACGCTATTCAATGAATTGTTACCGCGACACAGATTTGGTTCGCGACAGTTGTCGGGTTTTTTTTTTCGGCCGGGGACTAAATGTATTTGATTTTTTAATACCATTATAGTCAACTCTCTCTAAGACGGACACCATCGTGACCGGCACCAACTGTCCGTCTTAGAGAGGCGTCCGTATTATAGAGGTGTCCGTTTAGAAAGAGTTGACTGTATTCCTTTGGGTGAGAGGACGGACTCACACCGCTCAACAATCTCCAATTTAATCAGTGATAGGTGATAATAAGCTATGTATTTGCCAATACCGACGGAAATATTTAAGAGACATCACGATATTTTGTGAAAACCGAGTCGCGATAAATGTTTTATTGGCTCGGTCTCTCCTGATTTCGAGAGAGAAATCTCTCTCCTCTGCAGCTTCCACGCGCACCTGTACGCAAATCTGAGGAGGAGAGGAGATAAAAAGTGGCACAGGACAACCAAGTGACACAACTTAACAAACGTTCCCTTCTTATTTCAGGTGGATTATTTTACGAGATTTTAGCATGTCCCGTAGCCAGTCGGGAGAACACGTGCCCGGCAAAACGGGTCAAATTCCTGCTGCGACAAGCTGACACTTCAGACTATGGACTCTAGCCTGTCTTCTAGCCTGCGTAGCTGGCGACTGGCGCACGAAGTAATAGCTTAAGCACAGACGTTTTTGAGCCACGGACGGCAGCCGGAAGTCGAATGTTCTCTTCTTTGGCGCGTATTATCGACTTTTTGTCCGTAACGTCAAGTTCTAAATACTAAAACGAGGGCTTTCCAACTCATTGGTGGGGGGTAAAAGTGTACCAAAAACAAGAACAATCCGCTGGACAAGGGTAACGAGGACTCTGGGAACGAGATTGCTCTCTCTCTATTCATAAGCGACGAAGCCGCGAAAGCGAGTGGCGCAGCCGCGAGAGTCTGGGGCGGGAGTTCGAGTTTTTACGTCGCGCGCCAACAAAACCGCCAGGCTACGCAGGCTATGAACAGCAGGGAACTCGAGCACCCTTGCTATTTTCTGATTGGATGATATAGACTCGGAAACTCTTCGAGTGCTTCAACGAAGGCTTGCCGTAAACGACACTTGTTTGTCCGACTTAGCCGTTCATCGGTCGGGCGCGAATGAAATTTCGCGGAATTTCGCTGTTGCCGAGAATCTCGAAAAAAAAAAATTCGATTACGGGCAAATACGAACGTACCAGGAGCCCAAACAATATTACCTGACGTACTGGTGCTGGTAAAGCTCTCGGCTTCGCGCTTTTCGATCTGGCAAGGAGTCAAGGCAATAGCCTGACATATAAAGGATTTTGTTGCTTCTTATAATTTTACGTGTCCCTTTCTCCTTCTATTCATTTAATGTAATGTTCTTATATTTAAAAAACTTCCAACTAATCATCCAATGGTCCGTTAGCTCAGTCGGCAGAGCGCGGTGCTAATACGCAGGACTTCTGGTCCTATGGCTACGCTGAGGTCGAGAGTTCAAGCCTCTCACGGACCAAGGATTTTTTTTCCTTTATTTTTTTTTGTTTGGCCGAAAATACCTTCCTCGTCGTTTTATCTTTTTTTTTCTCAGCCTATCTCGCGAATCAAAAAAAAATCATTGCGTTTATATCACATAAACAAGTGTTGCCTCCGTTCCTCGCTCCCCGACTTTGGTGGCCGATGGAAGCCTGGAAACAAGTAGCGCGTACTATGAATGCCGGGACTGCGCACGTTTCGTCCTCTTTTCCGCCATCTTTGTTTTACAAGAGTTGTAGAGTTGTGGTAGCGAGGTAAAAACCCCATTTCTTTCCTTCTGATCTGTGCTGAAGTCGACAGATCTGTTAACTGAAAGCGTACTTATTATCTGATTCATTTAGATCATAAAATAAAATGCAGAACGAAGCAGGAGATTATGTGGACATGTACACTCCGAGAAAATGGTGAGTGAAGAGTTTTGGAATCATTGTAGTCTCTTTAAGCTTATATCCTTTTTTCAGTTCGACTTAACCCTCAAAGGGGAAGTATCACGGGATTTTGACCTGTTTTGGTCAAAACTGCTACAATACCTATTTACAAAATAATTCTAGAACACCAAGAGAAATAAATCAACCGAATTCGTGACAGAGGAACAAATCATGTTCTTTTCTGGCGCATGTTGGAATCGAAAATGCGAGAACTTGAAAAAAATTAGCCCAATTTTTCAAGTTGAAATCCATTTTGACCAGTCCATCTATGGCCAGAGACACTCATCCACAGTTTTAGTTCATTAGGGTGGTAATTTATAACAAAACTAACCATTATTTTTAGGTTGCTGTTAATATATTTTAGTTTTTGAAATGACACTAAATCCCCGTGATACTTCCCCTTTAAGATTTTTGTTGCAATTTTTTGCAGAATTTGTTTCCTAGGTTTAAAAACTAATGCACATGCTCATAAATTCGTTCTTATATTCTTTTGATAGCTCTGTCACCAACCGTGTGATAGCGGCAAAGGATCATGCTTCCGTCCAGTTGAACATTGGAGAGGTAGAAAAAAATGCTGTTTTGTGTCAGGTTTATACTTACACATTGAAAATATATATTTCTTAGACATCTGTGAAACTATTAAAAGTAAAATAGTACACAATCATGATGTAAATATTTCAACGAAAGCAGCAATGAAAATGTTGCACATGTTCATTTGAATTGCGGAGGTTTCGCCCCCATTCGAGTTCGCACCGTCCAAGTTCGCATCACATTTTTTGAGTTCGCACCATTTGTTTGTGGCCTCACACTTATAGAACAAAGAATATACATCGGTGCGAACTCGAAAAGTGTGGGGCGAACTCGTATGGTGCGATCTTGAATGGGGCGAAACCTCCTGCTTCCGTTCATTTCCATGATGTGTTGCACTAATTGCAACGTTTCATGCAACTTGAGTCTCAATGAATGGCAACAAACGTAGTAGATTTACTAGCCCAGTGTGCTTCTCATAGCACCCAAAGTGGCACATGGATGTTATAAGTAATGTTTATTTGTTTAAGTAGTTTTGTTAAGCGCTGTTGGTTTTTAGTAGAAATGGCGCTATATAAATAAAGATTATTATTATGATTATTATTATATACCGTCAAAGCTCTCATTGAGACCACTCTTGTAAGCAACCAAGTTCTAGTTACTGTTACGACCACCATTGTGAAACCCCATTTGAATTGCCACTCAAACTCTGTAATTAAAAGCTCTCGTAGCAAACCGCTCCCCATCCCGGCATCCGTAAGCGACCACATCCACTTTTGGGAAATACCAACATGGTCGTTTCCTTTGTTTTTAAGCTCTCATAAGCGACCACTTGTTGTGCTGGTCGCGTACGAGAGCTTCAACTGTATTTGAAAATAGTATGTACTGACAAGAGACAAATAAATTGACCGTCGGTATTGTCTTTTACTCATTGTAGATTGATGATACTGGACGATTCACTGGCAATTTCAAGACATATGCTTTGTGTGGAAACCTGAGGCAGCAGGTAATAATCATCTTAATAAAACACTACAATTTAACCAGGTTAAATACATCACTCAGGAGTGTCCATTCCTGGGTTGTTACATGTAACTTGGCACTGTCCTTCCACCTTGATACCAAGATGAATCATTATTAGAAATGGAAAAATATCACATCAGAATGCTTCAATATGTGTAGTTCCTGTTGAACTTAGAGGATGTTGCTTTTATGATGAGTTATTTTTCCTATTTAATTTATTAGTAAGATTAAAATTAATGAGCAGTAATTTTGCATTCTGTAAAACTGACCTGGGCGTCACCTGGCTATGATGCCATAAAAGCTAATAAATGTCAATGTCAAGTAATATTACAGTCTATTTGGAGTTTGTACATTGGAATCAAATGTTTTTGCTAGGGGCGGTTAGTAAATCAAATTTGCTTGTTTATATTCTGTAGGGCGAGGGTGATGATTCTCTAACAAAGCTTTGTATACGAGATGACATTATAAACAAGTAAGTTTGCCTCCATAAGGGTTATTTTTATTGTCATATTATACTGTTCACCTATTCCAGTGCTAGCATGTTGCCATTCTCGTCCCCAGAGTCCGCGATCTTTTTGGTCAGCACCAAGAAATCACGACCTCTGGCTGGTACCGATTTTCTGAGCTTGCGCAGAGTACTTGTTTTCTCTTGTATTTTTTAACAGCCAATCAAAAAATTTGTTCTACCAGTCCCCGCCAGAGTCTGAGGTTCCTTGGTGCTGACCAAAAGGATCGCGGCCTCTGGGAACGAGATTGCTTGCCATACTCACACAAATTTTGAAGGTCTTACCACAGTCATTTATTTCGTCATCAAAACACTAGTCTACTGAGAACCCTACATGTAATGGTAATACAGTCGAACCTCTATTAAACACGGAGCGAGCCTATACAAGGCTGCTGCCTAAGAGAAATTTTAGGGAGCCCTTTGGGCTCCCAAAATGAAAAGTTAGGAGCCCGAGTCACATTTTTAGGAGCCCAAAAAAATTTTTCCGGAACTTAACCCCTTCAATTTAAATCCTGTCACAAAACATTGTCCATTTGTCACTATCCTGTAATGTTGGATCTTGTACCTTAATGATCTCCATTTCTGGGTTTTCATAAACCATGTTAATGAGAATAACAATTTACTCAAAATGACAATACATAGATGTTATTGAACTAGCGTGAGGTCCGTATTGGGAAAATATTGGTCGAGTTCTTTTTTTGCAAGTTTATGGACCGAGCCGAAGGCGAGGTCCATAAACTTGCAAAAAAAGAACGAGACCAATATTTCCCAATACGGACCGAACAAGCTAGTTCAATAAAGTTTTTATTATAATGGCTTTTTTTAAAACTTGCTGATAAATTAATGCAACCATTCTCGGCTAACACGCGCGCGCCAAAGCTAAGCATAGTCTTGCATTTTTCAGGCCACTTTGCGAAAAGTTTAACCGAAATTGTCCGCCAGACACGAGGAAACATGTTTCTACTTAATAGAAAACAATTTTGCAAAATACGGTCCGTATGACCAAAATATCGGTCCGTATTGCAAAATACGGACCGCTCAGGGAACCAATCAGAATGTTCCTTTTCGTCGTGGACCAGTTTGCCATATAATAAATACATGTATGTCATAATAATACATTACTTTTTTATAACTAGGAACAAGTTTAAATTGTTGCAGGTGGACTGTTCTTTGACTCTTTGGTTTCGGAACACTCATTTTATTTGTAAGCTAATTTATTTCAGTTTTATTGTGGACCTCTCGCAGTGAAGCTTAGCCATACATGTAGATTTCACTCATTGTTGCTTTACAAAACAAACACCAAATGAAGAATGACGTTACAATGTTTTGTTCAGAGGCACTGAAATATCGCAAAACTGCCGGAGCGCTAGCTAGTTAATTTACAAACTGAAATTCGATAAGCCCGGGACCAGTAAGCTTACTGGATTCGTTTCAACATCATCGCTAATACAGTCAAATGAAGGCACTGCAGTTTGGGTTGAAAAAGTCGTCGGCCAAAAATCAGACAAACCTCGCCAAACCATTGACAATTTAGCGGGAAAAAGCGCTGTGCACGCGTGGAAACGAGCGGCAAAGAATGCAACAAACACTTGCAATATATTATAAAACAATGCAGCTTTATTTAAAGCAAGAAGTAAAACACACAAACCCATGACCAAGTTTCAATCCTCTGACATTTCTGAAGCAAACTTTGCAGTTAAAAAAAATATTGCAGTGTTGATCTATCATCAAGCACGTCCTTGAGGTCAGTCGATTGTGTTGAACTGCTTCCCATCCGCGTCAAACATTTACCTCGCAACTCACGACCACATTTACTAACACAGAACATTCCAACGTCTTCGAACCAAACAACACAAGAGCAACATCCCATAATTTTGCTTTTCCATATTTGGGAGATTCATCTTTGACCCAGTCCCCAACTGCTTACGGTAACATAACATCGCAAATATCGAAAATGTTTTGAATTTCACGATAAACTACAGGATGTTTTGATGCTTCAAATGTGGAAAATGATTGTATTTGGCTTCTCGGCGAATCGATGCATGGTTCCATATTAACTTACAGCCCAAGGAATGGAACCAAACTTGCAGGGGAAAGTTCAAACTGCGGCCATTACTGTGGAAATGTTAGGCGCCCGTGCGGGCTCCCTGCACAGAAATTTAGTCGCCCGAGCTAGTAACCTAGGCGCCCCAGGCGACCGGGCGCCCGTTAGGCAGCAGCCTTGCTATAAGTCGAGGCTTAGGTGTCCAGCCTGCCAATCACAAATCCCAACGGACAACCAATGGTCTCATTTGATTGGTTAATTCACCCACATCTAATTATGTGCATTATTCAGTATTGTTCAAGTTGTTTGCACAATCACAAAGCTTGTAAATCTGAATAATTTTGAAAATCCCGCCAAAGTCACCTTCACGAGACTCGTTGTAGTTCTCGGCAAACTCGGATAAATGGAATGAGTGGCTCTTTGATCGTAGGCTTGAGCTTTGCAGCAATTTTAAC